TGTAAGACGCCGTGGGGGTCAGAGGGGCTGCCGCTGTTTGCTCGCGACCTTTTGTCTATGTTGACATGGGAGGAGGCCCACGCTCTCCTCAGGCGCTCTACATGTTGTCGCCGTCAAATGGCAACCCTCAATACTTGTTTGAAGTTTTTCTACCTTGAAATGGACAATGTTACTGTAAAATGGGTAGCAAAAAAAAAAAAAAAGTTAAAATTTCAAAGACATTATTTGTTACATCCACATGACACTTTTTGGTAATCATTTTAGCAAGAATCACGGAAGTTGATGCGCCATGATGTGCTTTCGTGGATCACATAAAATGATGTGGCGGGCCAGGTCTGGCCCCCCAGGCCTTGAGTTTGACACCTGTGCTGCAAGTCAAAACAACTCAGCAAATTGATTTTGGAGCAAACAACTCACTTGGAGGATATGGAAAGTAGAGGTGTGTGTTTATATATTGAAACTAACTGATGCCACAAACTGTATGAGGGAAAGTTAAAAAAAAAAGAAAAAAAAGTTTCCACATTATTTCTAGACTTAAATGAGATGCAGTGTTTTTTTTTGTTCCTTTGGGCCAAGTTCACCCTGTAGCTTTTTTTCCCCTCTATCTTTTTAATTTACTTTTAATCGTTAATGTTCGGCTTCCACGAATGAGAATCTTTCCCGGAGCCTTTTTGGACTGCTTTGTGCAGTAAACAATTAATTAGGTTCATAAGAACATTTTTCTCTTTGACCCTCAACAACAACAAGAAAAAAACCCCACTCTGCAGCTGTTCAGGACAGCGTGGACCGTGACAGTGCCCCCTGGGAGGGAGGCGGGGAACGTTGGGCGCCAAACCGCGGGTGGGATGTAATCAGCACCATTACGCTCCAGGTGCTGCTGAAATAAAAGATGGAAACAAGCCTGCTGCGGTGTTGCCATGGATTAGAATCCAATTAAGCACTGTTTAGCTGCGCGCAAACTGCCAGGCCTTTGCCTGTTGACTCATGAAATGAATGCATTGTCGCCGCACAAAGCCAACGTTGCAACAGGGGCGCAGCAGCGTGATTTCGGCCAGGCAGTGGGAAGCGCTAAGAATCACGAAAGTCTGTTTTTCTTTTTTGTGCGCTTCCGATTTTTAAAGGGTGGTGGGGGGAAACCTTTTCGTAATGTTTGTTAATAGTGATAGCAAAAACTACATGTACCCCCACAATGGTTTTAATTTCTCCCCCCCCAAAAAAATACTCGTGTGCTCCTGTCAGATCATACTGAGAGATTTAACAAAGATGACCAAAAACACTGGCGGCCCGGTGATCGAGTGGTTAGCACATCGGCCTCACAGTGCAGAGGTACCGGGTTCGATTCCAGCTCCGGCCTTTTGTGTGGAGTTTGCATGTTCTCCCCATGCCCGAAGACAGCTGGGATAGGCTCCAGTACCCACTGCGACCCTTGTGAGGATTAAGCGGATCGGAAAATGGATGGATGGATGGATGGATGGACAAAAACGCTTTCTTGAAAATTGCAAACTTCCCTTTCAAATGGTTGGACGATGGCGATATTTTCTCTTTCCATTTCCTCCATTTGAGAAAATTATATTTTCCGTTAGAACAACTTGGAAGTTAACCAGCACCGTAGAACGTCCACGTTAATACCTTCACACCCCCCATAAGCCGCTTGCCATTTCTACCCCGGGGCCAATTGACACTCCCGTAAAAGCGAGGCGGAGGTGAAGGGTTTGCCACATTTCCTCGGAATCCCCCTTAATGGACATTTCGGTAATACCCCGAAGAGGTAACAAATGAGAGGTGTAAAGTTAAACGTCCTGTGAAATCATCCCATCTTGAAACAAGCTGCCTTTACGGCCTCAGGAGGCTTTCACCGCACACAATTATCTTCCCGGAACACGTACACACTCCAGGTCCGCTCACTTTCAGATGTTTGAGATGGCGGTGGTGATGGCGTGCTCGCCAGCTTGGCTCACCTCCGCGCCGTAATCTGTCCGAAGCATTTCGGATCAAATGAACGCAAGCAGGTGTGCCCCCACGCACCCCCACGGTGGGCGCCCAGGTGACACCTGCTACTTCCCCTTTAATTCGTGCCGAAACAGCTGTTTCAACCAGGAGGCCGCTGCCGGTAAGTCGGCGGGGCCTCGCTCTCCGCTTGATAACAGTCACATTTGATTAGGAGCACACGGCTTGGCGGTAATGCATGCATCAATACTTGGCGAGTTAAAATAAACAAACAAACAAAAAAGCCCCCCTACATTTGGCGGGTAACCGGACCCGCACCCGGTCCACCTCCATTTTGACTTTCCATCTGCAAGAACAAGAAGGCACAAGGCCAAACAAGGTGAGCAGAGAAAAGGTGAAGATAAAAAGCATTCACCACACTGCTGAGCTGCGAGCCGGAAGGCGACTTAGGATAACTTTGATCCTGGGTAGAAAAAAAAAAGGGTGCGCCCATCTCAAAACACAATTTGGGGTATATCTCGAGCACCCGCTCCACAGGGAGATCGTCTTCCTTGAAGAGGTAAGAGCTCAGTGGTTCGCGAGAATCTACACCAAGTTCTGAAATGCAGTGAGTCACCACTGCTAAAAGGTAGAGGATGGCGCATAAGTTTCACGCTGTGAACTGGCTTCCGGGACAAGACGGAAGATTTTTCAAAATCTTACCCCCATGCAAGCGAAGGAAAAGATCTCTTGATCTGCATGCAAATATAATTTAATATGCTCTAGCAGAGCCACTTTATGCCACGTTATGATTATTATTATTATTATTATTATTATTATTATTATTTATTTTTTTTTTTTACAGCTGTGGCTGTTGTGAATGAACGATATCAAATAAAGCGGAGTAGATTTTTGATAAAGTGTGCATGTTTGTTGTCCCGGGAATCCAGCTACGATGTTTTCACCAAACCTAGATTAAAGGCGTTCAAAGTTAGGTTAGCATAGAAGTGAATCGCGTTCATGCAGTTCTCATGAGAATTTAACAGTTTTTTTTTTCAGAAAAAAGCAGTCACAATGAAAACCGTTGGCAAAACCGTTGGCAAGAACCCTGACGTGAATGCGCATTTTGCTGCCTTTGCCAAAACGTCGCCGCCCAAGTGGGATCGGCGCTTAAGTTAAATGAATCACGAGTTTATTTGGCTTCGAACTGAAGCACAGTCGTACAATTGTCAAGAGAATTTAGGAATTTAGAAGGATGTTTTTTTTTTTTTTTTTAAGAAAATGTTCCATATGACCTGATAATCTAAATCAATTCTCAAATCAACTGAATTCAAAGTGAATCTCAGTGCTGCACTTCTTTTAAGATATTTTAATAAGTACAATAGTTTGCAGAAATGTGTGATAATATCTAATAAGCACTCTTTGCTTTGTCAATGCGTCAAACAGTGGAGCATCATGCAGGGGTGTCACGCAAGATGGAGCAATTTTTCTGATTCTTCTCCCCTGTGCTCTTCTCTTCTCTTCTAAAGGCACACGCGGGCGGGAAAGGAGGTGATTGACGCCACCCGATCCACATGCAAATATTTCAATTCACGCTGATGTCATGTCAGTGTGTTGTGTGTGGCGGGAGAAGTTTGTTTACCAGCAGAGTGCAGTGTTGTGGCAGCCAAGTGCTCCTCCCTGGTAAGTAGACGGTCGGTCAATCCGAGAAGTGTATCAAACAATCAGCCTTTCCACAGGCTTGATTGACACTGTCGAGAGGGATTGAAATCAACCATATGTTGATTATCGCGCTTGTGGTTTGCAGTACAACTGTCCGTCATGAAATGTGTGTGTGTGTGGGGTGGGGGGTGGGGGGGGTCTGTGGGAGTATACCACCAGCCTATAAAACATAAGGGCCTTATTTATTGCAGGCGGTGCTGCCGTCTACAGTATTGGCATTTTGCTCCCACAAAAATGACCTGCGATATTGACTTGACACATATTTTTTCAAAAATCTAAGTTTATTTCATGATTATATACTGTTTTGCCTTAAGTCGCGCAGTCGAGTTGAACTTAACTGGTACAGTATTACAGATATTCCGGTTTGGGTATGAGAAAGGCGATGAGAGTGCAAACAACAGTGGTAGTTGTGCACAGATTGATACTGTCAGGAAACACATGCAAATACTTGTTGCAGCTTTTTAGGTAACCTTGACTCCAAATGCTTATTGCCCCTCTTCGGGCACTAAACCGACAACCGATAATCCTACCCCAAACGTTAGGGGGTTGTTCTGGGGGTTCCTTTCAACATTCCAAATCCGACCCTCGGAATCCAAGACGACAGGTAGAAAAAACTGTGAGCGCATACCCAGGAATGGTGGGGTCCAGAATATGCATGAGACCCCCATCCCCTGACCCAGTGCCCCCCCCAAGCGCCCTTTCTCCGTAGGCTCCAGAGTCGCTTCACGAACCCTTAACGCCAAGCCTAACTGCATCCCTAAATCCTAATGGTCCGATCATTGTATCTCATCAAGATGAATGCATTGCAGTCTCTCAACTTGTTGCTTAGTAATATTCAGATGTAAAGTGGCCAAGAAGAAGTTGCTTAGTGACTGAGCCGGGGAATGTTTTCGCCGCGCTGTTATTTGTTCAGTTTGTGAGTCTGACCTTGGCACACTTCGAAGTGGGTCGGCATTGGCGTCCTTTGAGCGGAAACTTGAATTCAAAACGCTCGCTTTTGTGGGGGGGTCAAATGCGTCCTCCGGGACGCACGGTGCAGATTCGATTGAGGTTGGAAGCCGGTTCATTTTTGGCAGCACCTGTGACCCGACACAAACAAATGGACCATAAATAAGGCAGGAGAGAGAGGCCTATGATCCCCCGCACCCATTCCTGTCTTTCCGGGTATGCAGAGGCGCGCCAACAGGTAATGACATGGTATTGATCTGGAAAGCTGAGGAGCTGACTGATGATGTCGCCCTCCTGGCCGACGTGCGGTAATGAGTTGCCTTCTCATTGGCTCCTCCACTCCATCCTGCAATGTGTCACATTGACGCTCCGTGCAGGAGGAAAGTCTCCGTCATCGCCGTCACCAGACGCTATCATTCTTCAAAGCCCAAGAAGCGCACATGCTTAGTCACCTGGAATGGAGTCTTAAACGCAGACAGGACAAAGACATTCCTTGGTTTCCTTTTCCTCCTCCGCGGAAGGACTTATGCACGCGGCACTTTTATCTTTGCTTTTGCTCGTCGTCAGCGCGCTGTGTCGAGCCTCGCCACTCCGAGAAAAAAAAAAAAAGACCAAATCAAAACAAAGCTAGGTACTTTAAGGACAGTATGAGCAAGGTTACCTCTAATTTTCCATGCGTCTGAGCATTCACACAAACGCCCGGAGCCTTCCTTGGACCATGGTGAGCAACATTCACACGGTGGCTAAACCGCTATAACACCTGTCCAAAACCTGACATCATAATAAGGTACCCGATATGTTACCAAAAAAAAAAAAAAAAAATCAAACCACCTCATACATTTTGGGATTTGTTGAATTTTCAAAAATGCCCCACATTGTGTGGCTTTGAAGTGAATTCCGCTCATTTAAGTCTCATGGGAATTTAGTTGGATTTTGTTCATTTTTCATATTTCTTCTCACATCTACAATTTGGATGTATTAAGCCTACAAATTAACTTTTTTTTGGAAGTTTCATGAATATGGCCCCAAATAAAGATGAGAGAGAAGCGTGTTCATCTAATCCCCATGAGATGTCAATAGGACCGAGTCAGTTAGTGGACTGTAGCTTGTCCATCCATTCATCCATTTTTTGATCTGCTTTATCCTCACAAGGGTTGCGGGGCATGCCGGAGCCCATCACAACGGTCTTCGGGCAGTAGGCGGGGGACACCCTGAACCGGTTGCCAGCCAATTGCAGGGCACACATAGACATTCAATCGTTTTTGCCCACACTCACACCTTAGGGCAATTTAGAGTGTTCAATCGGCCTGCCATGCATGTTTTTGGAATGTGGGAGAAAACCGGAGTACCCGGATAAAACCCATGCAGACACGGGGAGAACATGCAAAGTCCACACAGGATGGCCGGAGCTGGAATCTCACCTGGTACCTCCACACTGTGAGGCCGACGCGCTAACCACTTGTCCACCGGGCCGCGACTGTAGCTTGTAAGTTCACAGATTTCTAAGTTTGATCACACTGTCTTTTTTTTTTTTTATAATCATGAAAAAGAAGAAAAAAAGCTATCCATTGTAACCTTGGAAACTGCAGTCTTGTTTCAACCAATTTAATGCATTATGAGTTTAATTTGGGCTTTGAAGAACGTTACTGAACATTTAGGAGGATATGAAAGAGGAGCCTGACTACGCTATTTGGTGCGACTGATTTAGCCTCAACTAGTTTGCTGTCCAACTACTTTTCCTCCTCCATCATCTTCCCCAATCTATACCCAGCGCTTCAGTCATCCCAAACACGTCATCCTGCCTCCCCGTCCGACATATTTCAGCCTTCGCCTTCATTTATAATCCTCGGCACAACACCAACACATTTCGTTTCTCCCAGACAATGACACACTGGGGCGTGATCTGTGTGATGGAGACATTTCTCGCTCCGACTCATGGTCCCCGCCTGCCTCCATTACGGCACTGCAATACATCTCGCCGGCGTCCGGGCCCCGGTGATGCTCGGAGGACCTGGGCGGGGGGGTGGGGGAGGGTCACCCTCACCCTCACCCAAACCCACACCCGACACTGCATCATTTGTGGCAAGCTATCAACAGCATCCTCACTTTTTTTTTTAAAAGTCTGATTTAGAGGGAGAGGCGCAGGGGGGTGGGGTGCTGATGATACGCACCCCTCCCCCCTCCCAGGCCCTCGCCATCTTTGAACAAAAGACACCGCAGAGATCTACTCTTGAGGAGACGCATGAATCATCGCTGACAAGGCTCCTCCCGCCGCGCTGTTGTAGCCATGAATAATCCAGCTCAGCTAAGGCCTTGATCAATTAGTCAATCTCTCAAGTGCGCCTCTCAATTAACAAGGTGATTCCCGACGCTCCCGACTCGGTACGCCGTACTTGTCTCTGCCAATTTAGGCCCAAGTCCAAGCATAACTCTCGGCGCTCTGGAGATTCACGGGCAGGCGCTGAAAATACGAGTTAGAAACAATTGGCTGAGATTGATTTTGGTTGCAGATGACCTTTCCCTAAACCCTTTTAGTTACCTCCACTCTGTTCGTCAAGCTTTCGGAGCCAACGGTCAACTCTGGCTGCAGTCCCACGGAGATATATCAGCCAGGTTTGGGAGGGGTGGGGGTGGGGAAACCCGTCCGCAAAGAAACAATGCAAAACAAGCTAAAGGAAAGCTTCAAAAGCAGCACCGCTACAGTGAAGATGGATAACTCCAGCTATAGAAATCAGTCCTGGACACCAGTTTTATCATGCATACACAACTGGGTGACCCTGTGTGTGGTAACAGGACACACAAAAAAAAAAAGGTCTCAAGAACACAAGCCTTGAAATTGAACATCAAGTCAGAAGCAGGTGTCCGTCCGAGACAGATGAGTGATGTTACTTGGTGATTCATGGGCGCCAACCCTGAAGATAGTGCATCGAAAACAACCGCTAGAGATCGATTCGGTCACCAGATGACCTTTCACTAAACCCCCTTAATTGCCGCCGCTATGCCCGTCAAGCTTGTGGAACCAACAGTCAGGACCAACTGCACTCGTGGCAGAGTCGTCTCGGTTTAGGAAAAATGACCATGATCAAGGCGGCCCGGTGATCCAGTGGTTAGACCGTCGACCTCACAGTGCAGAGGTTCAATTCCAGCTCAGGCCTCCCTGTGTGGCGTTTGCAATGGTCTCCCCAGGCCTGTGTGGGTTTTCTCCGGGTACTCCAGTTTCGTCCCACGTTCCAAAAACATGCATGGCAGGCTGATTGAACACTCCAAATTGTCCCTGAGTCCCTGTGAGTGTGGCGTGGATGGTTGTTTGTCTCTGTGTGCCCTGCGATTGGCTGGCAACCGGTTCAGGGTGTCCCCCGCCTACGGCCCGAAGACAGCTGGGATAGGCTCCAGCACCCCCTGCGACTCTTGTGAGGATCAAGCGGATCGGAAAATGATTTCACCTCCATTCTGGCGCTTGGGCACGCCCGATCCGAACCATAATGTGCTCGTAAAGAAGTCTGTCGGCCTCCAAAGTCCTCTCCAGTCGAGCGTTGTAAGTGTCAGTTGGGCGACTGCGGCGCGTTAGGTTGGCTGTAATTGGAGCAATCCGTTCCCTTCGCCCCCGGGGCCGCGAAGGCTGTTGGAAGGCTGCCTAGATGTCCTCAGTTTCCCCTTCGAAAAGCTCCCGAATGTTCTCCGCCGCACCGCGACGACCTCTGACATTTTGCACCGCTGCGAGCCGCCAGACGCCTGCTCTCACTTCTGACCGCTCGGCCCATCCAAGGGGGAATGGTGGTGGTTTTCGCGGAGTGTTTTTTTTTTTTTTTTTTTATTTTTAAACAGCAAATAGAGTTTGGTTTTGTTTAAAAAAAAAAAAAGTAAAAGAAAAAAAAACGAGCAATTATGGCTAAAATCAACTGAACCAATCAACTGTAATTGTCCAGTTCAGTTGCTGGCCGAAAACATGGAGGCTAATCAAAGTTCGTTAATCTTTAATATCACACTTGATAATAAACGTAAGAGAGATGCAACAAAAGGAAATAAAAGCACATAAAAACAAATCTTGCAATGTTTGGCCAAATCTTGCGATGAGCTACAATTAATGTGGTTTTTTTTTCTCCTCAGGAGCTAAGCGAAAAATGAAAAAAAAAATAAGGTTAAATCGAGTGTTTTATGTATGCGGTGATTCATGATCCTGTGAAAGTATGTCGCAGACATGTTATTAAGACATCCGGAAACTGTTGTCAATTATGAAAAATAAATAAATAAATAAGTACAACGTGTCCCGATGTAGAGGTTGGAACAATTACTAAGATACTATTTTTTTTTTTTTTTACTTGATCTCGTCAACATTAATGATGGAATACCCTTAGTATTAAAATCTTCCAGAAGGGTAAATCAAATGAAGGAGATTTCAGTAAGAGAATAACATTCCAGTTACAGTTTGCGTGTACACTCAAGGCCCAAATGCAATGAATAAAAAAGTCAAAAGAAGTACTTGCGATTGTGCAGAAATGGAATTATATGTGGATGTCGAAGACGCAAGACAGAAAGGCAGTCTTTTCTGAGTGCACTAAGCCCGAGGTGCAGCGTTCTCAAAGGTTCATCTCTGAATTATTAAACACGCAAACTTTACTCATGAATCTTTCAAAGCCAATCGCACCTTAACTGACAGGGGAAATAATAACGAGGTGTCTGCGGATTGACTTTTAAACTCCGAGCATTTTAGACAATCCGCGCGCGTCCTCTTAAGATGAACACGGAGCATTTCTTGACAAATTTGAGGCACAAGTGGTCAAGCCAACGTGATGCTTTCTTGTTTCTTTCTCGATCTGATCATACAAGTTCTTCAGTTAAGTGCATTAAGGTTAATTTGCCTTTGGAGTGAATAAAAAAAAAAATCCCACTTGGATTTTGTGAGAGTAATGTTACAGTTCAATGCAACGAGTGAAAAAATATAATAATAATAATAAATAATAAAAGAAAGCAAAAAAAAATCTCTACTTTTGTAATTTTTTTATCTTAATCACTTTTACTTTGTCACTTCCCACCTCTACATTTCGCCCAAGTTGGACAACCGTACTCAGACTTGGCCAATCGAAGGGTGAAAAGGAGTTGAAGTTCAATTAAAAGGGACTAAATGGCACTAATGTGAAAACAGGCCAAGATGCCGTTCCCGTGTCGACAAATGGGCGCTCAGTAATTAGTTTATTCGCAGTGATGCAGCCGGTTTTAATTGAATTAAGCAAACAAACCCTCCATTAGGCTGCCCGCGCAACATGAGGGGAGGACCACGACAGCGCTCGGCCGCTTCCTGCGCAGTCGCAACCCCCGCCGCAATACGTGGCCGTGCTGGAGAGACTGGCAGCGCTGCCGCGGCCAGATGCATCACATTTCCTGGCTCGTTGGGAGCCTTTCTCTCGCCTCTTTTCTTCAGATTAGTCATGCTTTGATGGAAGGCCGTCTCGAAACAATTGGCGCTCTGTCACGCAAATGCTTGGGTGTCATTTCACATCGCTTGCCCTGACCAGGGCTTCCCGCAGAGAACCTGTGGAGATGTTTGTCCTAGCATTAACCGGGGTCTTTTATCAGAATGACTCAACTTTACCCATTTAAGTTGGGTAATTGCATCAAAGTACCTGGCTATTGCCGTCGTGCTGCGATACTGATAGCAGGATTAGCTCGGGCGTGTTCCCGCACTCACATGAGTTGACGTGAGGCTCAGCAGGACGCTGTCTGGATTAACGGGCGAGTTTACCTTTAAGTGGCCAGACAGCGGGGGTGATCGTGGGCCTCCTGTGGTTTTCCAGAAAGGACCCGAGAGCAGTGAAGGTGTTGTCACAGGAAACGTAGTCGCAACGTAATTAATGCGGAGTTGATTGTTTTGTGCTCGTCGTTTACCTAGCGTGCACTCGTGTGAGCGTCTCAGACGGACAAAAATTCAAGAGCTACCTTGAATTCGGTTTTCCTTGTAACTGCAACCAAAGTGGAACAAATATTTTGGTTTACAAAATAAAAAGAATAAAAATAAAAAATCGAAAACTAAGCCATAAAGAGAGCGACATTTTCCTTTGTTTTCAACTATGTCACATGTGTCAAACTCAAGGCCCAGGGGCCAGATCTGGCCCGCCACATCATTTTATGTGGCCCACGAAAGCAGATCATGTGTGTCAACTTCCGTGATCATTTCTAAAATTTCTACCGAAATGTCAAATTGTCATGTGTAATAAATAACATTGAGATTTTACGATAACTTTCTGACCCTGTTTACGCTCACTTGAACAATAAGTGAACAAACAACAAACATATAATTGACTGATTTCAAAACTAGTAATCCATGAATTTGTTGTGTACAAATAACAATACTACGTAATGATTAAACATGAATTCGGCCCTCTGAGGGAAGATGTAACTTTAAATTGGCCCCGTGACAAAAACGAATTTGACACCCCTGAACTATGTCCTTTGACATTGCAGAGCTTTTGGAGTTCATTTTTAATGTATTTGTTTCTGTATTTCTGGACATCGGTACAGAAGGTTAAACACTTATTTGAGCAATGGAGTTAACTCTGAAATCCCCAAACAACTCTGGGACAGAGTCAGAGGTCTTAGTTTGTGAGCCGGACTGTTTGCGGTCACGTCAAAGTTGCTAGTCTCCTTCCTAACGAGCCCAGTGCGGTTCAAATGGTTTTGAAGCTGTTGTAATATCTCAAAGCTTCAAGCCCAGACTTCACCCGCTGAAAACGTTTTCTCATCCTCCCAACAACGTCGTTCAAGTGCCAGCAGAGTGACATTTAATCAGACTGCAAACCTCCGCCAAGGCCGAGACACCAAAAAGCATCCCGACCCCCGCTACCAAACATTGCCGCGTGTAGTTATTTTCCCTTTTTTCTTTCTTACTGCGAAGACCAAACTGAAAACGACTGGATTTTATTCTTACTGACAACAACAACAAAGCGGTGCACAGCATAAAGGTCAGCGAGTTTTTACTCTTGAAGAAACGATAACTGGTGCAGAAAGAGCGCAATTGCCAACGGTCTGCTGGATGTTTTTCAACAACAATCACAGTCACAAAGTCTCTCGAAGTCTCTAATAACAACCAAAACATTGCTTGATTTGTTGCTGGTCGACTATTTTTTTGGGGGGGAAAAATAGTCGCTAGAGATGATGGAAAATTTGCAACACAGACGGCAAGACCGACGAGCGTTGTCGCAACAATGTACCTCCACTCCACTTTTTGTTTGGCATGGTCGTGAAAGCTGTACTCTGCATTTGCCGGAGACAAAACAGACCACCAAAGTGTTTTAAAGTTATGGGAAAAAAAACAGAATGTTTCATTTCATACTAAATACACTGCTCTTTCTTTTGTAATTGCGCAACAGTGACTTTGAATATCAATCACAACTTTTCAAACGATTAACAAAACATTGTGCTGTAATAAAAGATGAAATTCAATGTAATCGTTATGTGATCTTGTAGAACAATCCTTGCACTGGTGGCTGTCCAGTTCCAGGCAATTACTAAAATGAAATCATAAAATAAAAAGATATAAAACTAAATAAATAAATAAATAAAAAACCTGAACACCAACGGTGCAACACACATGTAGACAGACAATATAACAATCCTCACGAGTATATATTCTGTATCGTCTGTGAAATTTGACCAATATTACTGCGGGTTACCGAGTCGCTTGGTTGTGAAACTCATCTTCGTTTGTGTCAGGATGAGTGTTATACCGTTAAACCTTTACGAATCTGATTAAAGAAGGAAAGTGCAGCTCTCTAAGAATTCTATTTAAGTATAGAAACAAAATACTTTGAGCCCATTTCATTACAAGACTGAGTTTGGCCCACAGACAGCGAGTGTGTTCTTCTTTTTTTTTTTTTTGCACTTGTATTTTCTACTAAATGTTTCAGCTCCCCGCTTCGGTTCATCATGCGCGACTGCTGTCGTGTCGCCTTCCTGTCACACGTGTTTCGATGTTTGCTGGCTGACTTGTTTGCCTTGTGCTTTCTTTTCCCTTCTCTTCAGGTTGTCTTGTCGTGGCTGCGGGTTGTGTGTGTCGTCGTTTCGCCCTCCCCTGTCAAGGCGCATTATGCAATATTAGGACCGTGTAAATAAAAGCCCACCTGTCTCCACAAGGATTTTTCCACCAGGAGCATCCTGTGCCGGTGCAGAATTGATATATTAAGGTGAGTGTGGAAGTGGAATGATACAAACAACAAACAAAACAAACAAAACAGATCTAGACAATGCATGCTTGGGATGTCGCCAATGAAGGCATGTTGTGGCCAAGAATTACAAGAAAATAAGTTGTCATGTTCGGGGAAGTCAAGTCAGAAGTTGTGGTTTAGTGACAAGAGTCATAAAATTTAAGTCAGAAGAGGGTGGGGGGGGGTCAATACGGTGCGAACTGTTGTAGTAATGTTGCTGTCGGGATACAAAAAAAGTCTTAATATTACTAGAAAAGAGTGTGACGTTACGAACAAAATAAATGTATTACTACACGCACCAAAAAATCTTTGTTGCATTTACTTCGCCTCAGTTTGTGTTCATAGTTCAAGTAAATATTATGCCATTACTTCATATGCCGATAGCTCATTGTAGTAGTTGAAGTGGACCATTTCCCTTTGCACGAATAAATCAATCCGACAAATAGCCAAGCGTGCTTTTATGACGAATCCTCATTTCAGAATGCTTTTGTCACATCTCGAGAACGTCACACTTGTGGCTTGAACCGAGCCCTTTAATGGACCTCCGTGAGTCAACTCCGAGTGTGTGTCTTTTTGCCTGCAGTGAAGTGTCAAAGCGAGTGTGATCAGAAATGATGGGGCCACAAACTTTTACTGGCGCCAGAAGTCTAATTCTCACAGATCCTCTGCTGTCATTTTAAGCAGCCGTTGTGTCATCATTACCGGCTTAATCGAGCTTATTGCGCCACTTCTAAGGGTCCACTTCACGCCGCCTTGTTGGACCCGCTGGTGCCGTGGTGTTTACCCCGTTTAAAACTCATTACATTTATTTCTCAGTAGCTTTAAAAAAAAAAATGCGCAAAAGAGAACGGGTGCCAACACAGCTTTTTGACAACGGGGTCTTATTTACAGGTCGCGAAGCCTGCGGTGACAAATAACAAGCGGCGCCATCTGGGCGACTTTGCCTCACATTAGCCGGTAATGAACATTAATGTCGCGAAGAGGGTCACCAAGCAGCTCGAGAGGCGAGAGCTCCCACGTTATGGTCCCCTCGCCCCCTGGAGAACGCTCGCCTGCTTTCTCGCCGGCTGCAGTCAAAGTGAGTGAATGTCATCTTTATGGCATGCGGGTGAAACTGCATCCATTATGTCCTCCTGTGCAACTCCTGAGACAAAGTGCTCGGTTCACAAACGCACGCAGGTCTCTACTTTTTCTCCACAACGGTTGACAGGGCATACAGGCTTTTGTTTGCAATAGTCAAACAGAATTATCCATTTTAATAGGCAAGAGGAGGTCAAAGGTCATCAACATACACATTTTTAAAAAAAACACCGGCTTGTTTTCCTAAGATACTTCCTGGGCAGCTGTGGATTTGGGTTCCAAGGTTGGGTTCATTATTTTGTCGCAGCATTTTGGGTTGAAGATTGGATTTGGACAAGCTGAGGAGCTGACGATGGTCATTTTTCAGTGTACTGACGTTGACGTAAATTGAATGTAACATTCTGAGACAAAGTTGGTAGCGGCCGGATGGCTCAGTGGACCAACACCGCTTGTAAAAAACTGTGCCAAACATATTCGAGAGGTCACCCCTGAAAGGGGCAAGTCGCTTCTCTGAGAAACTGTTAGTAATACAATTAGTAATCATTTTTATTTTTTAATCCACACTGTGAAAAACTATTAGTAGGTTATGGGGCCTAAAAAAAGTCCTTTAAGTTGGAAAAACATTTATTGCCGCAAAGTGAGTTAGAGCAACAAAGTAAGCAAGTTGTTATTAAATCTATCTTTAAATTTGGGGTTCCGTAAGGGGGCCCAACCGTTAATTCTTTGTTGTGAAATGCAGGAAAGCCGGTTTTTCACAACAGCAAAATGTTTAGTTGGAATTGCCCAACTTGAAATGTTTTCGCAGTTCGTTGCCTTGGAGTTCGCACATTTTTTTTTTTCATACAGCTACTGTATGCAGCTCACCTTGTAACTTATTTCTTAATAGTTTGAACTCATCAGTATGAGTAGTTTTTACCCCTCTGTGGATCAAAATCTTGACCCAATGAGCTAGGTCATTAACTGACTGACCTTTAGCTCCGGTGATGCAGTTATGCGCCATCGTATTTTATTTTATTTCATTTGTTAAAACTTTTGTGTGAAAGTAAAACTGATAGAATGCTTGGGTTGCAGTGTACACTGACACAAAAATATATACTGTAATATTAATAACACACACTCGGGCACACATCTTTTTTTTTTTTTTTCCACGTGAACTCTTGACAGAAGTGCGAAAACAGTCTCGGTGTAGTGCAAGAGCAGGAACAAACTGCAGTGTTTCTGTGATGTCACGTCGGCTTCTCGAGCTCCAAACAATGCATTATTTATGTGCGTGAGATGGTGTTGTTGATATTTTATTCTTCTTCTTCTGACTGTGTGGGGAGCGACGACTTTATGGACAAACGCTTGAGGGAAGTGCCTCCTCGCCTTGTCTCATAACACTTTGTCTTGGCACATGTAGATTGTACAAAGAGCGAAGGTGTGTAGCAAGAAGTTGAACACTTGATTCTTGCCCGGTGGCTATTTCCCATAATTGTCTGCCTCTCTGCTTGGCTTCTCTACTCATTAAATGGTAATTACAATTCGGCATCGTGCTTTTTGTTGGCCTTATTAAGGCTGCAATATCAATAAAAAGGTAGGCTGATATCTACATTTAAATGTGTTCTTTTAATAATTCAATATGTATTCATTCGCAGAGACACACCGCCTGAAACTGTTTGACAGCCTCAACTTGCTTCCACTCGCTGCCACTGGATGGCATTACACTCAGATAATTTTTAAAAAACATGTCGAATTAATAGTATTAATCCCTGTCTAGTACAACTGCTTCTGATTGGGACTCATTCTCTACTTGAAGTCCACTAAAACATGTGACTTAGGATTTTCTGAAAATGGCTGACTTCCTGTTCAATTGCAGGGAATATGTCACTGAGACATTTTCTCGTGTCCTGGTATAGTAAGACAGATTCACCCAAATTTGTGTCGATAAAACCGTGTTGGGTGTCGGGAGCTGGGTTTTTTGTTTTGTTTGTTTTTTGATAACTACCTAGTGAGTTTAAAAAAATGAATTCAAATTACATGGAGTGAACATGTTTATCACTGGAGATATATTCCAGAGCCAAGACAGGTACCAAGGTAAAAATCTGTGATATAGAAGACAATCATGTAGTGAGGGACACAAACAATGACACACAATAGAGATGAGGAGCACTGGATTTAATAATTGCTTCTGCAGGTGTGAAACGGCCCGAATCTTGACACTTTTAATGGGCTTCTTGATATTGATACTGATATGAGCACAAAGAAGGCAGCGTGTGTGTATCATCTCCTTTGATACTGTATGAGTACAATCACAACATCTTCGCTCTCTCCTGCTCACAACCAGTATATTGTACAGCAGGTCTGTCATCTCACGCTGCGGTGAAAAACACCCCTCCGTACTGATTTTGCCAGCCAACTGTTGTCGTCAACGTGAGACCGACGATCACAATAGATAGTGAATGGGTGATGTGTCAAAAGCGGTTTGTCCTCGCCGGTGGGTTTTCATACATTGATTGGTACATTGATACATTCAAACAAACTATTGCTGACTACTACCTCTGACTAACAAAGCTAACTGTGGATCTTACTAATTACGAAAATAGCTAGCTGGCTAAGCATAAACTAATTACCACAGAATATTATAAAGTACAGTTCAGTACGACAAATGAAACTAACAAAACTATCTTACAGAGTACTACAAATGAAACTATCTAACTGGTTCTACACCTGCCTACTATAAACTAACAAAGCTAACTGTTCATCTACCCGCACTACTAACAAAGCTAATTTTTAACTACAAACTACTATTGACAAAGCTAGTATACACCAAACTAACCACACTATTACCAATTCGGCTAACATACAAACTAACTACCAATGACTGCTACGAATGAACAAACAATGCTAGCTAACAAACTTTCAGTGACTATTAACTACAAATTCCTGCTAAAAAATGAACTAACTTGTATCAATGAACCTATTGCTAATTTACTACTGAAAATGAAGGCGGCTGGTTACTACTGCTTACTAAGTGCCATTCACAAAGCCAACCATTTCTAAAACCAACACTAATTGACTAGATAATTACTTCTGACCACTGATTACTCGAAACAAATTAATTAACCCATTGATGAATTAACGAACTGTAGTTACTACTTCATGGATGTTTTTGAAAAAGCCGTTATTCTTTATCACTTGCGTAGAGTGTTGACCCACAAACCTGTTATGTACATCTGTGTACATGCACAGTATACAGGCTGTGGTAACAGAAATGAGGGCAAGTATATGAGCCTTGAAATTTTTTTTAATCATGCTACGGCTTGCACAAACATCATAAACATGTTTCTAGGGGCTGAGCTGTTTCTTATTAGATTTACATGGATTCCTCACGGAGACATTCATTTTGGGTTAAGGGTACCTGACTTATGATGCCTGAATTATAATGCTCATTGCATCCAACATGTCAAATCGTATTGACTTTACAGTCCATCGTGAAGTTGAGTGACGTTTTGATCACCAGCAAGTGTCAGTTTATGTGTAAATTTACGCTCAGACTGAAACCATTAATTTAACTAACTTTCACATCAGAAGATACCACTCACCTTTTAATATGCTAACTTGTTTATTTCAGACATTAGTGTGAATGAAAAACTGTCCATCCCCTCTCTTAAAACGTGTACCTCTGCACTGCGAGGCCGACGTGCTAACCAATCCACTGCCATCGCACCCTTTTTAAATTATTATTGATATTATATATGACACAAATGATCTGCCTTGTAACAGCACCATCTTTTTTACTGTACAAGCAATTAAAACTTAACTAAATGAACTATATACTGTATCTGGTACTGTAACTGAATGAAGTAACCAAAACAAAATGCTCACAAATCAATTTATCATGCACCAGAATCAAAACCCAGCATGCACGGCGGTGGGGAAACAGCCATTAAATTTCAGCAGAAATCTGCTTTACATTGCATTTAAAAAAAAAAAAAAAAAAGCCAATTTTTCCACATTGAATTGGGCGACAGTGTGTGCCCTCCACGTCTCCCTCTCCCGGGAGGACTTTCAATAAGCCTGCGGCTTCCAAGTGGAATTCCCGCAGGAGGCCCAGCTGTCATCGGAACTCTTGTTAGACAAAACTTTTGGGGCAAAACACACACACACATACACACATACACACATACACACACAGTCAACCCTCTAGGTGACTGGCAAAACACTTTCTACAGTGGTGGGACAGGTTTGGGGCCGATGAAAAACATACTGAATATGCACTCCTTCTCAATTTATCCATTCCATCTTTGACAGTATGGCGCTTGTCTTCATTAGAGTTGTGTGTGTCTTTGTTCAATTTCACACTTAATGGGCGTGTAGATATTTCAGACATCCAAGTATTTGTACAAAAGCCATTAAAAATTCAATTTGACATCATATGTCCCCTTGAAATCAATACCTGTCTGACAGCTTCCAATCAAAATTGATTTTTTTTTTTTTTTTATACTGTGATCACACGTTTATTCTTTTATAGTTTCACCTAATATTACACAAGGGGCCAAACGTCCGCTCCTCACACCTCCGTATTGTCTGTGCTGGTGTAAAATAAAAGGCTTATTCAAACTGGCAGCCTGGCAACAGAAGCGAGAGCACCGAGGGCTCGGGCCGTCGCGGTGAGATGAGAACGCCGTTTAAATTTCACGCCTTGCAACTGTTGCAAAGCGACGTTCGACTGTATTGATGCAGATTCACAGAGTTAGCCCGAGCCGCGGGATAATGGATAGTGCATCACTTGCAGGAATTCATGTGGATTCCGATTGCCTCTTCAATAACATCCTAAAAGCGTGTCTTTAGGAATTAGCTCTCGTGTATTGATGGAGCAAAGTAATCCAAACGACACTCGAAGCTCGCAGTCATTTTTACAATCCACTTTTAAGGTCCACTGGATTGGAAACTGGGGGGTCATGCCCAGTACTTTATATACAGTATTCCTCGCATAATGACTTTAAGAGAAGAAGAACAACAACAAAATGACTCATTAAAGACATGCCATACAGCACCCCCCGGTGTTGATCAGACAAGTAAAAATCTTTTCATTCTCAAGCAGGTTTAAAGCGTTTTTTGGGGTGCAGAATTTATTTAGATGTGTAGTTGAGATATAGCTCTTCTATTCCCCTTGCGTACTTGGTTAGCAAGCGAGAGTTCACTAAATATTATTCAGTCAACCCGTCCGTCTAATAGGCTACGTATACAAGGCTAGGCTAATTTGCGTGGGTCTAGCTACTTTTTGTCTTGTGCAGTGCTTCAGGAGGCGCAAAAGATATTGAAGGAGACACAAAGGTTTTTAATTGTATTAAGCCTGTTGTATATTTGGTCATTGATATATCGTTCAAATCCATAGACATGAAATAAAAATTGTGACAATAATGAGAGACATTAAGTCACTATATGAAGTTTAGTCCACTGACTTGAATTGGTTTACTGTTCAGGACCACACCCAAGGCGGAGTTTATTTATATTTTACGTCTCTATCGTCTATGTCTGTATTCGATAGTTAGCTAGTTAGCTAGCAAGCAAACTCGTGATATGCTAGCATCCACTTATGATAATATCCTAGGGTCTAGCTTTGTTTTTTATTATTTACTGTGAAAAAAGAAATCCGACAAAGAATTGCGAAGCGGGAAAGAGATAAATGAGAACTTTTCCCCATATGACGACAGCCATTTTGACTCACGACTCAATTGTGTCCCTCAGGCACCAGCTCTCGTCTATAATTAAATCAGGAGAGCGAGAACAACTAGCATAACATATGTATTTACTCCAAAAGCAACAAAATACAAATGTAATGATGGCCCTCGATTCAGTTTACAAAACAGAGCTGCACTTATATCACAGAAGGGCAAGTTTTATACTTTTGCTAACCATTTCACTTGATGATTTAAAAAAAAAAAATCCTTTAATTTGGTGACTATGGGAGATGTATTGACATGAATTAAGCTAATTTCCCCCCGCCTGTCTTCACTTAATTACTTTCCAAAATGTTTCCATGTTTGAAATAAAAGGCTTCACTAGAAAAATAGAAAACACCATTATTATATTGCATGGTCGTTTTGTCATTCTCATCACAGATCCTTTGTTTATTTGCTTCTATTTTAGTAAGTCTACCTGCCGATGAAGACGTGAGCGTGAAGCCAATCTGCCTCCATGATGGTCATTTTGATTAATGATGAGCTACAGATTAAATTCTTAGCAATTAAAGCCGGCTGGTAATTATCCCGCGACATCGTTCGACAGGCGCTGCAAAAGGGGTTGGCGGGTGTGGGGGTGTGGAGAAAAGGGGAGTTAATTTAAGATTTATTTCCTTATTGATTAATTAACAGAATCCTATTAACAAGGTTCTGTTAATTTACAATTAACTGAATCCCATTATCAATTCCCCCATCCACTTTACTTCCCATCCAAAGGCAGGAAAACGATTTCACCTTGTTGATGGCGAAGCCCTTATGCTCTGTGCAATTGCGCTCAGGAGGACTAGAGGGAGGGAAAAAAATATATATATTAAAATGATGCCGCTGTCATTAATTTGCCGTCGCCAGAAAAGGGCATCAGTGATCTGTGAAATCACTTTGTTCGTTTGAGGTGGTTGCACTTTCTTTTCATTTATGTCTCATAATGACTTAGATTATAGGAATCCGCACGTGGAGCCGGTGTCTTTTCGGGCATCTGCAATATGTCGGACAGTGACATTACCCGTTCCGCTCCTGACAAACGCTTAAACAGCCTTCACTTTCAATCCAATCAGTCCAAGAGCCAAGCAGGGGCGCTTCCCTTTGTTGACCTGTTTTTTTTTGGTTTTTTTTGTGGAAATAATCTGTCAATGGGATAAGAAATGTTAAAGCACTCCCATCAATTCCATTTTTATTTCTTTATTGTCAGTGTTCAGTTCTGCTCATGTGGTTTTTATGGCACCGCGGGAAGTCTCGACTCGGCCATCCATTGTTTCTCGGCTTCTGCTCCTGTGTGGGAAGCCTGAGATGCACACTAACTATTCTCTTAGATGAGCTTTCTGCTTCGGCGCTCGCTACTTTTTAAGTTTCACACATGCAAATTATGTAACGTGCTTTCTCGTCAGGCCAACAAACCAACCAATACTCATACTGTTGGACTCCCAAGTTAACTTATGGTTACTTTTTCCAGGTATGCTTCCAAGCTTTAAGAATCAAATATCTAGGAGACACATTCGATGGTACCTCGCCAGTGAAAAGCCAAAAGGTAGGACGAAAGACTTTCTTTTTTTTCCTGGTAATTGATCCCAAATCTACGCACTTAAGTTGTCCTTTGTGAACTAATCTAGCCGAGTTTTGGACGCCAAGATAACTGTTTGTATTATTTCCAGTACCAAAAAAGGAGCTGTACAAATCATGTGTCTAAAGCCAGCATGTCATTCTACATAAATTATAATAATGGCTGTCATTTTTAATATATACAGTATATATTTCCAGTATGTGCTCGTAAGAACTGAATATGTACTTTCAGCCATAATTCATAACCATATACCCCAGAGGCCTAATTATTGTACTGTAAAGAAAATGATTGCACACGGTGCATGGCCACATATGTACCGGTATGTGTCCAAGCTTTCGGAGGCTAATTAATGGACTCCACGATAACTGTTTCCACTGTTTCCTGTCATGGAAATGAGCGAGCAGGTGTGAGCCCAAGCTGTACACGTCGAGGGTACAAAAGCAGAACCTCGCAAGCTCACACTGCAGTGATAATCAATCAACATTAATGTACCCAATCAGCACGGTTGCGGTATTAGACTCCCAGGGCCGAAAAGGTACACACATGTTCCCACGTCGTAAGCCAAGTGGCAGGCAGAATCTCGGGGACGAACAGCACCCCAGTGGCAAGACTCCCGATTGTGCAATGATGTGTTTTTCCGAGGGTGCTGTTTAAAATGTAGCAGTGAAATCCACAAGACTGTACCCAAATAGACTAACGATTGGATTCCAGAGTCCTGGCTGTCTCATTTCCAAGATGGCTGTATCTTTTGATGACATCAGCCCCAAAAGAGAAGCATTTTTAATCCTAAAAAAGATACGACTCTGCACTTTTGTAGGCTTATATGAAAATCTGAGTACTTGATTTCATCGTGTCCTCTCCCAGTAACCCATTTGAAACCTCCATTGCAATGTTTCATTTGCACAAGGCGTTTTTTTTTTTTTTTTTTTTTTTTTTAAAGTGAACAATCAAATGACTACGTGTCACGTGGATGATGTTCCACCTGCTCAGGAAACCGTGGAGATTTAGTTCAGGCTCTGCCCAATGTTTTTAATGCCTTTCATCTTATTGTTTTTGCTTTTAGAGCCTGCCACTTTTAAAGTGTTGGCTCACTCTCACTGCACTCACACGCATAAAAACTGCTATAAACCAGACAGTGATTTTTTTTTTTTTTTTGTCTGCCACAAAACAAGAGACGAATATCATGAGAAAATGGCTCGAGAGGATAGGATGGCTCAAATGCAGTGGGAGTGTGGTCAAAACAGGACTCGGAATGAATATTGATGGTTCCGGGGATGGGGGGGGCAGGGGGTGGGAGCAGACATCTGCTAGGGAAGGCGTACACCAATCAATAAGCTTTGTCACAATTTATTTGGAGAATCCTTTCAAGAAACTTTTCCATTTCTGTTATAATTAGTGAAGTGTAGTGTGTGTGTGTGCGTGTGTGTGTGTGTGTGTGTGTGTGTGTGTGTGTGTGTGTTTTTTTAACAGGCAGACTTAATAGATCACATAATAAATATACAACAATACAATACAACAAGGGCGAACAATCCACAACATCTCATTTGACTCATTTAAATGGAAAAAAATTATTTAAAAATTAATAGAATTGAGAAGGAAGTGGGGAGAGTTTATTTGCTATTTCATCACCAGTAATGGAAATTGCTGATGAAGTCAGCCGAGTACAGCCGAACAAATGCTGAAGTCATCCTCCACTTTCGGCAAGATGACAAAGGGCTGATAGTTCAAACAGGCATAATGAGGCAGAATTCTACATTGTAAGTAATATTTTCAGTGTGCGTAACCTGAACAACTTCATAGTTTTGAAATATAAAGTAGCCTTTTATAGGGAAATTAACAGTTATGTGGTCATGAATGGACCGCACACACCTCACTATGAAATAATCTATAATGAATTTCAATCATTAATAAATTTTTACAAGAATGATAAATTATTTAAAATATAATTGCAAAAATGTTTCGAATGTTAATGAACTGTTGCCCCTTCTGCATGCCTGTAATTACACAACCGATGTGCTGCGCTGCGGATGCATCCACCTGATTGGGGGCTTTTTTTATTTTTATTTTTTTCTTAGCAGAAACACGTGCACACTTGCCAACATCGCAATAAAGCCATTTTTTTACCACACGGTACTTGCCGGCTAAAGCTGAAGTGAACACAATTAACCCCGATGCTGCCGAGGAAAAAGTGCAAGCCTTTCGGCAATACCCTCCAACAAGGCTCAGGGGATCGCTCTGTTCTATTAAAGTGAATACGCCCCGATCCACCAACATTTTCTAATTAAAACCTTTGGGAATTACTTTTGAGCATGAAAAAAAAAAAGAAAGAAAAAAAGAAGCATACATGTTGGAGAGGCTGAGGAACTCAAAGGATCACAAATGAAAAAAACCAAAACAAAAAACAAAACAAAAAAAAACCAATGTGTTGTTGGCTGAAGAGGCAGTGGAGCTACATAGATTGTCGCCGTGGCAACGCATTGATTTTTCTTTTGAATATTGCTACCTCAAATGGCCGACTCTTAATGGATGAAGGAGCTGGATCAGCGTCTGTTGTTGTGTTGAGTCCGCATGGAAAGGTCAAAGGAAGGAGTTTTATTAATAAGAGCAATTCCCCCCACTGCAGGACAAATAAAGGATTATGTGATCTTAAAGGATTATGTTACCTCATTAAACTTGAGGCGTTCAAAGGGCTTCACCAGCAAGCTTAAACATTGTCGACCAGACTCCCCTCCTACAATCTGCTTTTTTTTTCTGCCACAATGGCATTATACCGAGAAGAACTGCGAGCACGCTGAAAAAGCAAAAGACAGTCAAATGGCATCAAAAGTCATTTCAAAGAAAAAAGTCGTCAAATGAGCTTTTGTTGTTTTATACCAATTTTCCTTAAGTGCGATGTTTGCTGTTAGGTCTCGCACAAATCCAACAGTCTCAGCAATTTGAATTTTTCCTTTATTCGGAGCGCCATTAGCTTTGGCTGAGTCCATCACTATTCATCATGGAGTCCAAATCCACCGTTGTCATCTTGACGCCGCGAGTAGACCATTACAAAAACAAAAACACATTCAAATCAAACCACAAAAATGACAAAAACACCTCATAACAACCATTGCAACAAAACTTCAGCACTTATTGTTCACACGAAACTCTAATGACATTTACCTAATACAAAATTAGGTAGGTACAAAATCCCTCCATCCATCCATTTTCTAATCTAGGCGGGGTACACCCTGAACTGGTTGCCAGCCAATCGCAAGGCAGTTACGAAATTTAAAGCATTTTATTATTATCAAAAGACTTTTTATTTACGACTGTCAATGTGTTTAGCCCACGATAAATGATCAACTATTCTCCGCCTTCTTTCTGGAATGGCGCTCACTCATTTAAAATTTTTCTTTTCTTCCAAAATATCATACATTTTGTTTTTGAGACATTAGCATCTAATTTGTTCTGCATTCCATTCCTCTTTCTACTAATTAATCTCAAACAGAAAAAGAATACGACACACCAACATTTTTATTGGCGCTTGATATCGTCCTCGTTTCAAGCTCAAATCTCTTTCTAAAATATGTAAATTAGTCGGTGATGATCAAAAGAACAATGCATGCTCATTCGCTCTTAATTAAATTAAAATACAATTAATTAAACCAATTGAAATTGTCTTTGGGATAAATTAATTACAATCAATCAGTTTTAGGCAGGAAAAAAATTGGCCAAAACATACGCAGAAGTTTTTAACAATCAGATTTTTTTTTTCTTTTTAAATCACACCTGTAAGGGACAAACAGGGAACGATGAATCTTTTATATTGCTTCAAAAAAAAAAAAAAACAGCATGTTTGGTAGATTAACTTTTATTTGCATGAGCTGAGTTTGTCTTTGTCTCTTGATAAATGAACTTTGTAAAATGTCATCACTCGCTCCTTGCATACAAAGACTTCTTCAGGCCCCCCAAATCTCCGTTTGTCTAAATACTTGATTCGCAGCAATCTGCAGGTCGCACGATTCACCTGTCCCTCCTTTACAACGTGAAGAGAAGCAGCAAAAGGGACATCCGTCAAATCTGAAAACGAGGTATCCAAAGGAAAATTAATGAGAGAGTTTCATGATAGAAATGTGTCCCGCAGTGGTGTAAACGACAGAGAGCAAACACTCACTTTCACTCTGGCTTACCTAAAAAACACGGGGCGATCTAATTAATGTTCTCCAGAGTCAAATTATTTTCATTGTGTCAAACCAATTGTGCATTTTCTCTTACTTTGGCAGCTTCACTGACACTTCTTCTTCAAATGATTCCAAAACAATTACAGACCTGAAATGACTAAGGCATAGTTGGTCATACAGTGTGTGCGCGTTTTTGCGCGCGCGCGCGCGCGTGTGTGTGTGTGTGTGTGTGTGTGTGTGTGTGTGTGTGTGTGTGTGTGTGTGTGTGTGTGTGTGTGTGTGTGTGCGTGTGCGTGCTCTCAAAAGTTTGAAAACGAAATTGTCTGGCTGAAGAACAACAATAACTTTTCCCAGTGGAGAGTTTGTATGAGCAACTCTTGAGGTCAGGCGAAGGCATCGAGAGATGCTTTGGGCTAAATAACTGACTTACTCTCACTTGCAAAAAATGCAGGCTTGTTACTGCACAACATATCTACATAAATAAAAGGTTTTGCCACTGTTTTTTTCCCCCGACACGCCAAATGGGTGAGCTCACTGGATAATGAGTATTCTTGTTAGTTGGTAGAAGGAAGAAACAAATAAATACACTATTTCTTTGGGAGGAAAGTGCATCAACACTTGGTCTTCTTTGTAGGAAATGGAATGATGCGGATAAGTCTAGATTATTATTAGAGTTCAGTCTCACACCAACCATCCGCATTCGCTATTTGTTTTGACATCCATTTATCAGTCTACAATTTAGAATGTTCCATTAACCTGCCATGCATGTTTTTTGGAATGCGGGAGCAAATCGGCGTACCCGTAGCA